TGGGCCCTCAGTGATTCCTCTTATTGCACTAGGACTTGATTCAGCATATATTCTTTTCCTTGGGACTAACTGAATTCTGAGGAAATGGGCAACCGAGGCTCATGTAAACAAAGGCTGATTGGTCTAGTAATTCAATGATGGATAGTCACCCTTAGTTTCCCACCCAATTATTTAAAGCCTCTTTCTTGAGTTTCAATGAAGTCTATTTACTCAAGAAATATTTTTGAGTTCCTATCATATGCCAAATGTTATCAAGATCTTTGAGCATACAGAGTTAGATAATTCAGACATAAGGCCCTCTTTTTACGGAATATACAACTTATTGAGGAAAGGAGGCAAAAGGAAAGATACAGGGTATTTGAGAGGACCTGGTCCTCTGGGTCTTCCAGGTTTAAGCTATTCCTGAAGAATGAAGCAGAGTTGCCTACGTCAATAGTTTACACTAAGGGAATGGAAATAAAACTAGCATTCCAGGCAAAGGAACTTTAAAAGAGAATTTTTGTAGTTAGAACAGAGATGAGATTTTAAAAAAGAGAGAGAGAGAGAAGGGCAGAAGATAAAATTATTGCATCCCTGCTCATTGTGTAGTAAGCATGACTAATTTAACAATATAATATATAATCATTTCCACTTCTATCCAATTGCTCATAATGTTGAAAAGAAGGTAGTAATAAGACAACATTGGAAGCCTTCAAAGAAAGGCACTGTGAACATTCACACTGTTACTAAGCTTACTATTCACTCTGGAACTAAAGCAAAAACATTGTTATAAGCCCCTAGGCAAAACTAGTTTTCCTCAAATCTCTCTCTGCCTTGAAAAATGCCCTCAAGGTCAATATTCAGCCTCACCACAGTGGATCTGGTTGCAGTCAGGCTTGGTGAGCTACAGGTAATTAGGAAGAGAGTGATCTCTCTCTGCTAATCATGTTGTTGCCTCTACCTTGTGTAGCATTCAGAAATTCTTTACTTTTGTCCCCCCTCTAATTAACAGCAATAGTTGCACCTCAGTTCCTTCCTTTTGCAGAGGTGTTCTGCATCCCCTACGTATGTGCAGATTTCAGTAATCACCAGAGGGCTTCCTGGGTCAGTTGTAAGGAGCCAGCCTAATTAACTTAGTTCTGAAGGCCTGAGACTCAAGTAAAATAAGGCTTATTTGGCAAATGAGCTTCAATAGCAAACTCAGTATAGAACTCACAGTCTAATATTTCAGCTTCTGCATCTTGTGGCTCCATGTGCCATCAAACTCCATGATACCATTAGGAGAGCTTAGTTGAGTTCAGCATACTGGTAAAAATTGTGGCTGATCCAGCAGCTTTACCATCTGATAACTGAAAGAATTGGAGCTCAGTATTTCAACCACCTTGATTAACAAGGTTGTTTTTCCTCCATTTTGGACACAACATTTTTAAATTTCAGCTTCATTATTCTGGTAATGAAAACATGGCCACTGGGAGGGAAAAATGTATGTGCTATCTAGTAAGTATTGGAGACCAGACACTTTTGAAAGTAATGAGCTGTGAGTTACATCTGATCTTTTCCTGCTAAAAACATAGCTGGATTCACCCTACAGGTAGTGATAGAGAAGTTCCCATAAAAGAGTATCCCCAAACATTCCAAGATAGGGCCCAGTTAGAATTCAGATAAAGACTAAATACAAGAGTAATGAGTCTAGAACATTTAGTAGAGGAACTTACGGGGTAGGCTGCAGATAGTGTATCCTCACAACAGACAGTGTGAGAAAGAGATGTTCTACCTAGTTATGTCCACAGTAAGAGGTCAGGGTGTGGATTATATGAGAATTTATATGAGAGTTTGACTCAGGGCCAGGGCTAGTTAGTTTGTTTTGTTGTTGTTGTTGTTTTGTTTGTTTGTTTGTTTGTTTTTCAGTGATTATGGCAACAACCTAAATGCCTTTGTCAGTGCCTGGGGATGTTTAAGGCCATGGTTTGGGTTGAAGCCTGAGAAAAACATGTGACAGGCTAGGCCCTGGACAGGACACAGAAAGCAGGGGAACTGGGGGACACTGCAATATCTAGGACTAAGAAGAACTAAGTTGAGTTCAGCATACTGGTAAAAGTTGTGGCTGATCCAAAAGCATTTCCATCTGATAACTGAAAGAATTGGAGCTCAGTATTTAAACGACCCCAATTAACAAGGTTGTTTTTTCCTCCATTTTGGACACAAAATGGAGCTGAATATTTTAACTATGAGCTAAATCTTTGCTTTAAAATATATTGATGTATCTGTGTTTTTCAGGTATCCTCCCTTTGACTAAACAATTTCCGTTATTAATGCTAGATACAGCAACCAATAGGAAAGCATGGGCCTGGGACCACCAGATGACGTAATGGCTATGTCACTGGACTCCCATGTAGCTAACCATGGTTCAAGTCCTGGACCTGGAAGTCTAAACTCACGCCAGGTGCGTGTGCGTGCGTGCCTAAGATCCCAAGAGGAGAATGGAGGAGAAGGGATTGTGGCATGGCCATCCACCCTGGGAATGATTTGTTTTCTGTCTTTCTGTCTCTCTCTGACTTTCTGGCGAGTGCACTATAATAAAAACCTCTCAAAAAAAAATAAAAAAAGGAAAGCATGGGCCTAACACTTAGCATCATCACATCAACTCTTCTACAAACTACACAGTGTCACTCAACCTTCCTTGGTTGGCCTAACGCTTAGCATCATCACATCAACTCTTCTACGAACTACACAGTGTCACTCAACCTTCCTTGGTTTCTCTCTTTTGAGATTATGTTACTTCTTCCAGTCATGCCATTATTGTGATTATTGCACATTGGAGAAACTTGAAGACAAATTTCTTTATAAAACATTTAGATTTACCTCAGAGAATTGAGCCAAAAAATAATGAATACATTATAATGAGTTGTTTAAATTCCATTTAATGGAAATTTTTCTTAATCACGTTACACAATTCTAAAATTTATAGTGGTATGTGTTTATGATCTTGAGCATCACCTACAGTCCAGAGGGTTGAGCTATCAAAGAGGATATTAGCAAGTCAAGCTCTAGGACAGGACTACAGCTGTGATCTAAGGTCATCTCAGCAGGGCAGTGAGACATACAGGTGTGTTCAAGTATGAGTTTGTATAAGAGATGAAGTGAGAAAAATCTCTGTGTATGGATTAGTCTAGTAGATTTACTTTAAAACTAGAAGGGGCATGGGTACCCTAACAGAGACCTCGCGAGGTTACAAAGTGTACACATTCACACAGTAATTAGCTAAAAATCTGGGACAAGGAGCCAGGTTTTCTGAATTCCCATTGCAATTACTCAACACTTCTTGGCTGATTTATGAAAAAAAGTTTTATAAAACAAAGGCCAGCCCCTAACACTTGGCTGATTTATGAAAAAAAAGTTTTATAAAACAAAGGCCAGCCCCATAGGTTAGTAGTTAAGGGAGCCAGATTCCACATGGAATCCACTTGCCACCATGGTTTGGATCCTGGTCCTGGTAGCTAGAAAAACATATGTGCCTGAGGACCCCAAATATTAGCAGGATGGAGAAATGGAGGAGAAGGGATTGTGAACACAAAACCTCATTCTTCTCTCTTTAAATGTGAGCTGAACTTGGTGAATCATTTCTAATGAATGGTAGCAAAAATTCCATGGGCAACCAGGTTCTTAAAAGCAATTCAGCTTCTGCCTTACTCTCGTCTTGTATCATTTGCTATGTGGAAAGCCAGCTCCCAATATCATGAAAATAGTCAAGCAGACCTATGGAGAAGTCTGCATGGTAAATATCTGAGGCCTTTACCTAACACCTAGCAAGCAGTTGAGGCCCCTGACAGACAGCCATGTGAGTGAGCTTGGAAGCAGATACTCCAGTTCTAGTCACACCTTCAGAAGACCACAGCCCTGACTGACATTTTGACCACAAACTTCTGAGAGGTCCCAAGGCAAGACTACCTAGCTTAGTACTCCCAAACTGCTGATCTACAGAAACTCTGAGGTAATAGATACTTGTTCTGGCCTGCTAAGATCTGAGGTAATTTTTAATACAATAATAAATAATATAAAAGCTCATCATGATGCAACCTCTCTCATATAATTCAAAAAATATGTCATGATGTTGTAGAACAGCTTTTCTTCAGCTTTCATTCAATTCACAACACCCAAAAGTTTCACCTTTAGATTTTGGCTATGGGTAAGTTCTCAGGCACAAATTAGGATTTCACCTGAGACAGAAGAAATGTTTTACAAAATTGTTTTAACATGCTATAAACTTCTTTTGAATGTAAGTATTGGCTCTGAAAATCAATGGCTAGCCCTCCCAATGTGTTCCAGTTCTGCTACTTAATCACCTCAGGAAATGAGAGCCTGCCTTAGCTGCCTATAGTTCATCCAAAAAGAATACAATCCTTCGGACTTTACTTCCCACAGAGTTATTTTGGAAATAATCAAGAAAACTTTACTAAGTAGATTCTTCACCTGGATAAATGGTTTCAGAAATGCCCTCGAGTCCATCCATACAGACCTGATTGTTGTGTGGTATGTATTAGATGCAGCAAGAGTTGTGTTCAGAGATAACATGTAACTTCTGTAGACGTTAATTGAGCACACCAGACTGAGTTACCTTTTTACCTCCTCTCAAGGAAGCAAATTGACAGTCCCTCATAGAATTCACAAAGATGTAAAGTCCTTGTGTTCTCTAAGTCACTTGTGAATGAATCAGTATCCAGTGGCAGACTCAGTAGTGTGTTACTTGCCCTCTGAGGGTGTACATGTTGTAAAATAATCTTGACAGTACAAAATCCTGAGCCGAAGAGTAAAAGTCTGTTCTATAAATGGTTCATCTTAATACTTCAGATAAACAGTTCATAATGTAATTTATCAAAGCTCACTTTTCTCTCCATCAGTATCACCATCTAATCTTAAGAACAGATGACAAACTGAAATCCTATTCTCCCAGACTCATCAACTAAAACTAAATTCTGGGGTTGTCCTTTCCCATGAGAAGGAAGTGATCCCTCTGTTTTTAGGTGAAAGTGTGGAAGAAAATGCGAGTGTCGTGGTCAAGCTGCTCATCAGACGCCCAGAGTGCTTTGGCCCAGCCCTGCGGGGTGAAGGAGGAAATGGTCTGTTGGCTGCCATGCAAGGTGCTATTAAGATCTCCGAGAATCCAGCTCTCGACCTGCCTTCTCAGGGATACAAGAGGGAAGTGTAAGTGAATGGAATTGCCTTCCAGGATGCATGCGGTTGGTGAATTCACACATATTGTCAGAATATGGATGAGGGAGGAGGTACACAATAACTTCTGATAGAAAAAGCACAGATATTTTACCATCATGATTAAAACATTTTAACTCACTTCATCAAGTCATGACTGTCTTGACTCTTCCAGTAAGCCTAGTGATCACTATCACCCTCGCCCCCTTCCATTTCCCCAACTCTGCCCAGCCAACTGGCCAATCGCTGTCAGCAAACTTTTTTGGCCCTCAGTGTACCTCCTACAGCATCACCACCAGGGAAGCTGTGTGGAGCCTGGGAGGCCTGGACCAAGGTTACAGTCATTGTCCAACTTCAGCACATTTTGATCAGTGTTCCCAGGTGTGGTGTTTCATCCCATACTTCACTTTTATTGGGTTGTCAGAAAAGTCATGATGCATTTTTACATAAAAAAAAAACATGTCATGACTCTTCCAATGACCAATAAAAATGGGTTGTACCCCTCACTTTCTCTTCTAGAAGTGTGAGGACCAATCAGAAAAATGTTTTTATTTGATTTCTTAGAAGAAGGAAAACCTGGAGAATATGAAAAATCATGGCATTAGTAATCGGTATTTAAAGATTAGGGATATAGTTGGTAGATTAGTCTGGTTGCCTTATTATTTTCCTTCTACCATGTCTTGTGATGATTTCCCTTTCTTTATCATAGCCTCTAATTATCCCTCAGACTCTAGAGAATGAGTTTAACCCAGCAGAGGTAACTCTCCAGCCAGTCGGCTCTTTCCTTTGTCATCAATTCTGGTAGATGATCCGGTAGAACTGGAAAGAACCCAAAACGTGTACTGTCCCAACTTCTTCGCGTAACTTGCAGAAAAGCTGAGGCCCCAGATCATTTAGCCAACAGAGCCAGGAGTTGGACTTAATTTTCCTGACTCCTTGTTCAATGTGCTCTTCGTGTGTTTAGAAAGGAAAAAGGAACATATGTTTGGTAGGAAGTGTGATCTCAATCGACTCATGGTAGTGCTCATGTCTTAAAGTTCATGGGATCCTAAGAATGTCATGGGCAAATATTTGAGTCCGTTGAGCTTAATAAAACCACCTTACAGACTTCTGGAGGGAGAGAGGAAAAGAATGAATGATGCGCAAGAAGGACATAGCCTTTCCATGTAGAGCAGCTCATGTCTGTAACATGGCCGTGCCTGGCAGGCTTCCTCACACCTCCCTGTGTTGACTCTCTCAGCAGCATGGAGGGTGGTGAAGAAGAAGAGGAGATCGTCCATATGGGCAACGCAATTATGTCGTTTTACTCAGCACTTATAGATCTACTGGGCCGCTGCGCTCCTGAAATGCACGTAAGTGATGGAGTGCCCAGGGCGCAACTTTGAGAAGGCTGAGTCAAGAACACTGGAGATTTCATGAATATCATTTCCTTCTCTGTCTCTGGCATTTGTGAACACGCCTTTGTCTGGGTTCCTTTTAGCTAATATCAAAAGCAGTTTTCATCACCAGTGTGTGATTCTGCAGCTTTCTTTTTTTAATAATCTCGTCAAAATTTTAATTTTGTTCTTAGAATTCCTTTCTCATTTTTTAGAAAAGTCATCATAGCCTTTAGACAAAAAGTAGATTATTAACAAATGACAACCTCAATAAAAGGTTAACAGAAAATTCAGTGACTAGATATGTGACATAGAAAGACCACTTCTGCTTGGGCCAAGGAAGGACCTCTGGGCAGATCCTTGTGTTGTATGACTTCTCTGGGGCACTTGTTGGACGTAACCTCTACACGTTGTGTTTCAAACGCCTCCCAAAATTATGTGTCCATGTCCCTCAGCTTGGTCAAGATGTGAACAACTTGATTCTTGATGGTAGCCATCAGTACACTGAGTGTGGACAGTCCTCTTTTTTTCCTGGCCATGGCACTGGGCCCCAGGAAAGCAGATTCTTCCCGTGGTTCATCTTTGATCTGGTAGGGAGACAAACTCAACAGGATGGTTCTGGTGTATGGGACGTCTTCTCAGATTTCCAGTTTTGAACAAAAAGTGTGTTTTTTTCTCCTCCTACTTTTACTTCTGCTGAGGGCAGAGAGAGATTGACCTTATTTCATTTAAGACCTCACAACTTAAGTGAGAAAGGAAATAATTGCTTCTCATATAAAAGAAAGCCTTGGGGGCCAGCAGGTGATGTGGTGGTTGAGGCACTGGACTTCCACATGGCCAACCATAGTTTGAATCCTGGACCTGGAGGCTTACTTTCTCATTCCCCCTTTCTCTTTGTATCTCTGTAGTCAAAATTGAAGAATAATCATAAAATTAAAAATAAATAAATCTTTAAGAAAAAAAGGAAAAAGAAAAAGAAAGTCTTAATTTTGATAAGGCAGGCTGGTCAGAATTCTTAGGATTCTAGTTCCTACTATGTTAAACCAGCCTTACCCACAAAGGCCTGTCTTTCTGTACCTTTTAACAGATAAAGGAAACTCAAAAGGGAACCAAGAAAGCTCTAGGGTATCTATGGTCTGGGTAAAAGAGAGGATCAGGACCCCTCCCCTCACCCCTCAATGTTCATGCTATGGTTCTGACCACCTCTCATCACTTCAGAAAGCAAGTTTCACGGTTTGCTTATTCCCAAGAAGGCAGCATGGAAGCCACCAGAGCCCCATGTGTAAAGGAGTTCCTTCCTTCCTTAGTGCTTCTCTGCTTGAACATCGTACACACACAGACACACACACATGCACACACAAACACACACACACCCCTACATTCTCAGAACCCTTCCTGTGGGCCCCTGCTGTGTGAGTGGTGGGCAAGGAGATGCTGTCCACAGGAGTGGGAGGCAGCCCCCAGGCAGGTGCACAGGGTCTCTCCTACCCTGGAACCACCAAGTATCATCTCCTTCCCTGGGACCACCAAGTGTCATGTCTCAGCTCGCCATCCAGACTACTTCAGGTAGATCTGAGCTCAAGGCCATTCCATTCCCAGCCAGGGACCTGCTGCCCCACTTCAGAGACCACACATGTAGACCACACCTCGACTCTCTGGTTGGTGCATTGGCCTCTGTAGGAACAGGTTATTCACCCCAGGATAATGCTTTTGAGATTCTCAGATTTTCTCTAATCTTGATACCCTTCTTGCCCAGACCCCAGCTTCTTTGAGATTCTCAGATTTTCTCTAATATTCTTGATACCCTTCTTGCCCAGACCCCAGCTTCAGCATTAACCAATAGAAACTTGAAATTCATAAGTCCCACTTGCCGGAATTCTGGAGTCTAACATTGTGGCCACATCATCAACACATCTGTCATGGCCACCAAGAGCTCCTTGTAGTGCAGTCCTACCCAGGAGCCATCATGAGACTGTGCATTTCCTGCGAAGACTTGTTCCCATGACAACATGACCACTTTAATCACAGCGAGGGAAGCAAGTGACCTCTTTAGTCAAAGTTATTCTCCAGGAGCACTTCTTCTGGAAAATTAAGATAAAGTTCCTTTCACTCCCTGTGGCCACAAGTGTCCATAGCAATTGGGAAGCATAGCTGTGTGTACCTCTGCCCTTAGAGAGAACCATTTCACAGACAGTTTAGAAGTGGGGTGAAGCAGGGTATGGGAACTTCATCTGTCTAATCTACTTCCCCAACCTTACATCACAGCTTATCCAGACAGGAAAGGGGGAAGCCATCCGGATCAGATCCATCCTGCGCTCCCTGGTCCCTACAGAGGACTTGGTTGGGATCATCAGCATCCCCCTGAAACTGCCGTCCCTCAACAAAGGTAAAGAAGCAGGCATGAGTGGAATCTGCCTGTGTCCCTGCAGCCTGCTTGCTCAGGGGCAGGACTCTGCTGCCGCCACAGAGTCCCCTGGGCCCTCACTGCAGAGCAGGCTGCCAAGGGCAAATGCCTTTATCCTGTGATGAGTTTTCTTCCCAGGGCTCCAGTCAACTCTCTCTGCTCACCTGTCAAGCCACAGACTTCACCGTCCTCTGGACACTGACCCTCTGACGGAGGCCAATGAAATGGGACAGACGAGTGTTCACCCCACGGCCTGCCTTCTCCTTTGCCCTGCATCTCACAGGCGTCCTTTTGTTACAGTCCTGGACACCTCACAGTTCAATGTGGAAGTTTTCCTCCCAAAGCTGTGTGTGACATTTGACCTCAGTCGGTGTTCACTCTGCAGAACATACTCCCCAGAAGTATTCCACTTGCCCAAGTCACTCCACCTGCTGTCCAGGAGCTGGAGGAATTGAAAAGATAGCATGATTCTGACTAGTGCAGTGTTGTCCAAACTGATGTTCCATGGAACATTTTTGTAGGAGATATTAACAACATATGAATAAGGGACCTGAGGTCTACTAAATCTAGAAAATACTATGGAATATGTCATAGTTTTGTAACTTCGTCAAGCACAGTAAAATTGCAATGTCTCTGAGAAAACTTAGGATAAAAAAAATAGATTTGGGCCAACTCGTGGCACAGTGGTTAAGATAACTGGATCCCACATGGCTGACTACACAGTTCAAGTCCTGGACCTAGTGGTTTGAAAAAATAGGGCATACACATGTGCATACATGCTTAGAATCCCAAAAGGAGAGAGAAATTGAGGAAAGAAAATTGCAGTAATCATCCCCTATAGAATGTGTGTAGGGGATGCTTTTTTCTCTCTTCTTCCCTCCCTCTCTTTCTCTCCTTCTCTCTTGGTCTCCTAGCAAGTGCACATGCCCTCTGGCAATTTAAAATAAATGAATAACTAAAATTTATCTGTAAAAAAAAAAATGGTGTAACAGGTGGCATGGTGATTAAGTTGCTGGACTCCCACATGGCCAGCCACAGTTTGAGTCCCACACCTGGCACCCTGCTTTCTCAGTTTTTCTCTCTTTCTCTCTTTGTGAGTGTACATGCTTTATTGCAAATTTAAAATAATCACAATATAATTAATTCTTTAAAAAAGAAAATATATCTAGGGGTTTTATATATTTAAGGTGTACAATATACTTCAGTATACATAGTGAGAAAATAGATGTTAGGGGACCAGCAGTTAGCATAATGGCTATGTTGCTGAACTCCCATGTAGTCGCCTGCAGTTCCAGTCCTGGACCGACCGGGTGGCTTAAACTCACGCTGGGTGTGTTTGCGTGCATGCCCAAGATCCCGAGAGGAGAATGGAGGAGAAGGGATTGCGGTGTTGTCATCCCCCCGAGGGGTGATTTCTCGCTTTCTGTCTGTCTCTCTCTTTCTGGTGAGTGCATGTGCCCTATAGCAAAAACCTCTCCAAAAAGAAAAAGAAAAAGAAAAAGAAAAGAGGTGTTGGTCTCAGTGTTTTTAATGCATAAATACTTGTTAGCATCCCACGAAAATCAGAACTCGAAGTGTGTGTGAAGTAGTCAGTCTCCAGGGTGCAGATCCAGCACCCCATCCCCTCCTTCTGCTCGGAGCAGAAGCAGCCAGCCGCAGTAGGCTCCTTCCCTACTGCTCTCCCAGGACCCGAAACTGATCTCTGGGCAGAATGAGGGTCTAGGTTTGATGGCACCCAACCTTTCCAGTACAGCATGTAAATGTACTGCGACTACAACTTGAGATTTGGGTGGAAACAAACTGAAGGAGGGAGACTGATTTTTATCCTCCCTCAAAATCCTGTCTTTATTTTCTCAGACAAGAAGTTTCTATTTTGTCATGGATTTTCTGCTTCATCATTGAATCTCTTTATTTAAGTAAGATTAGAATTCCAGGGTCTCACCTAAGTCAGATAATAGCTTTCAAATACAAAGCCAGCCTGTGGTATTGTGCTTAGTGACTGGATCCCACATGGCCAACAGTATAATTTGAGTCCTGGACCCAGAGGCTTGAAAAATATGCCCACTATGCGTGCCTGCCCAAAATCCTGAGAGGAAAATGGAAGAAAAGGGATTGTAATGTAGCCATCCCCCCTTGGGGGTGGGGATTTCTCACTTTCCCTCTCTCTGTCTCCCCACACCCCACCCTCTGTCTCCCCACACCCCCCCCCACCCCCAGCAAGCACACACGCCCTATAGCAAAAAAAAAAAAAAGGCAACAAGATTATTTTCTCTATTTTATTTTGCTGTTTATGATATAATAGCTAGAGACATGACATTAAAGTTAACCTGCTTTCATTAACATTTTCTCTTTCACTTTAAAAAAATTTTTTTTGTTTGTTGCTGTTTTGCCATAGGTTATATGTACTCACAGGAGAGAGAGAAAGGGAAAGTGAGCAATGACAGGGGGATTGCCACTCCACAAGCCCTTCTCCATATTCCTCTTGGGATTTAGGGCTTGCACACAAACATACTTGGCACTTTTTTTAAGCTGCTGGATCCAAGACTCAAATCACAGTCAACCATGTGGGAATCCAGTGCCTTAACCACCACGCTACCTGCCAGCTTCCTCCTTCACTTTCTTATGTCTTCATTTAACAAGCAAAAATATCAAGCCCTGATTGTTAACTTTTGCTCATTTCTGTGGTGTAAATGCTCTCACCATGGCCAATTTCAAGCTTTCCAATATGACGTCACCAGAAACAAAGTTGGGAAGAGAATGCACATAGCCCACCTTATGTCGTATTTTCAACATAAAAATGCAACTGATACAAATAACCTCAAGGGCATAGTTTATAGAAAATAACTCAGAAGTGATGATTTAAGAGTATTTTTAACCCTTTTAAATATAAGTTACCTAATTGTAAATTTTGCTTTTTATGAAGTTTCATGTGTAACAACTGGTTCATAAAATCTCTAAAAATTTTTTTAAAGAATTATTTAATTTTCTTTATTCATTAACTTATTTTAATTTGACCAGAGAGAGAGACGCAGACTGAGAAAGAGAGAGAGAGGGAAAGCAAGCATCAGGTCCAGGACTTGAACTGTGGTCAGCCACGTGGGAGTGTCCAGCACCTTAACCACCATGCCACCTGCTGGTCCCCCAAATCCCTAGAATGTTAACAGCTCTTCCAATCCAATATAAGCTACTTTCTTTTCTTTTTTTTTTTTTCCAAAATACCTGGTACTTACTTAAAAAAAAAGAAATAGAAAAGCTCTGTGTTTTCTGTTGAGACTGTGGAGATAGAGGGAAATGACATTTTCTGTGTTATCTTTCAGATGGGTCAGTCAGCGAGCCAGATATGGCAGCCAACTTCTGCCCTGACCACAAGGCACCCATGGTGCTGTTCTTGGACCGAGTTTATGGCATTAAGGATCAAACTTTTTTGCTCCACTTACTGGAGGTTGGATTTTTACCTGACTTAAGAGCCTCTGCCTCTCTAGATACAGTAAGTTGCTAAAATAAGAGAACGTTTTCCCATCATCATAAAACTGTAACACTGGACTTCATAACAAATAATTTGTCTCATCCCTAATCGCATTTTAGTAGACTGCTTCAAAAGATAAAAAAATAGAAGCAGTAAAAAATGAAAAGCATAATTTATTGGGCCAGAGATTTAATTTATTAATAGGTAAAGGCCAGAGATTTAATGTATTAATAGGTAAACTCAAGTATTCAATCCAGCTCCTTCAACCATAGTGTCTCTGGTTCTCCTTGCTATCATTGTGGGTTGTCCTGAAGAGTGTTTAGCAGCCTCCCTGGCCTCTACCCACTAAAGACAAAGAGAACCTCAATTCCCACCCTGCAACCCTCACCAAAACTAACTCTGGATAACACTAAATATCCCCTGGGGGACAAAATCCCCCTCAGGTAAGAAGCATTGCTCTATTGCTTATGAGAAAGACTGGCTAACAGCAGTATAGGCTGCAGATTCTCTTCCTGCTCTCTCTCCATAGTTGCATATACTGTCAGGAAGGTCTAGAGCCAGGAGCAGGGCAAAGGTCAATACAAGAGGTCAAGAGCAAATATGAGTTTGGAAATCAAGGGTAAGGTAAAGTCTTTCAGTATCAACAGACTTCTAGACAGAAGGCCCCAGAGTAAAAGAGCAAAGCCCAGTCCAAACTGGGCAGAAAAACTACACCAGGACTCCTGGGTTTAAGGAGTGAAGACAAGCTAGATTAGTTTAAGACTAGCCAACATTTCACCAGGTTGGGTGGAATGTTTTTGTAAGTGATAAGGTTTCTCAAAGGCTCTGTTTGGTGTCCAACAGAAATGGAAAGCTAAGCCCTGAAATGAGTGGTCAGCAGCTAGTGCCTTAGTTGGATTCCATTTGAGTGGTTTACCTGGGAATGGAAAACAATGGAGCCCCAATCTGAATAGGAACTCCATCCTCTCTGTGATGTAAAGATGTGAAATGGTACATCTGTAAAGGTGTTAGAGGTATATAATCGTTTCGGATAAATAAAACAATGCTCTTACCACTACTTTTGGGTTTTTCTACAAATCCCATCATTTAAAAAAATACTCTCATAACCTGTAACTCTCTGAGATTCCTGATCAAAACATTTAATATTTTAATAGGTCCAATAAATAGTGAATGCTATTTTAGTATCTGGTGTTCAGTCACATGCTTGTTCCAGTACCATCTACAACACAAAATTTATATTCAGCTCCTCAGCACGCAGGCATTTGTGCATTCCCTTTTGAAAACTTTAAGCCACTGGAATCAAAGCTCTGTCCTTCCACATTTTAACAACTTTGTCTATTAATTATAAATGTGAAAGATGGGCTGTTTCTTCCAGGATAATTACTAAAGCTTCCAGGAACGAACTTTTGATAATTGAATAGGGAGACCCAGTAATGTGTACAATTCAAAGAAAAAAATTGTTTTTCCAATCGTAAGTTACAGAAAATGTGTTGCAGATACAATGGCTGTGATAATCACAGGAAATGATGATAATATGTCTGTGGATCTCAAGGTTGTTTTTGAAGTTCTGCAGTTTTCAAAATGTCAGTTAAGCATGATTTGGCTCTATTTAGTTCCTCTAAGTGGGTCTTCCTTAAATTTGGCCTGTGTCTCTAAATGAACACAAGACAGTTATGAGTGCGATATTTAGTGCCTCTATGTGGGTCTTCCTTAAATTTGGCCTGTGCCTCTAAATGAACACAAGACAGTTATGAGTGCGAATCATGCCAGCATTTGAGGTCCTAGGTTTCTATTCCTTTCACATTTTTTCCCATGTAAAATTAGGTTCCCTGTAGTGAGGTCTACACCCATATCATGTATCAGATTGTCAATTGCCCACAATGCTCATAAATTAACTTGTGTGTGTGTGTGTGTGTGTGTGTGTGTGTGTGTGGTGGGGAGAGTGTTGGAGTTCCACTTTCTCTTGGTTAAAAAAAAAACAAAACTGGAAAATCTTCAAGAGTGCTTGGACTGCAGTCATTTACTAATCATAAAACCACAAGCAGAGAGTACAAGTTCCCATCGGTGAGAGAAGAGAGCTAAAGCCAGGTTGGTGCCGTGGTACCTGCAGCTCCACTTTCAAGCATCAGGATGTGGGGTAAACCGGCCACCAGCTAACCTTAATAAGGGGTCAAAATTCTTCTTTGGGATAATGAATGTTTGCAGAGTCATTTGGAATGAATTGGAATCAGTCCCTCAGCCTTTGCTCTTTGCTACCTTCTGGTTTTCACTTTTTTCTTTTAACTTGATTTTTTGTTTGTTTGTTGGAAATGCAAAAGAAAAACAGATGACAAGGTAGAAAGCTGTTCACTCCATGACTGTGAAACTTGGACACGGAAACTTCCTTGATCTGCTGCAAGGGAGCTCAGTGCGCCGGTATGCTTCGCTATGTTCCCCAGGGGCATTAACTGGTGTCCTTTCCCTTTCCCTAGGTCTCCCTAAGCACCACAGAGGCTGCGCTTGCACTAAATAGGTATATATGTTCTGCCGTGCTCCCACTCCTTACAAGGTGCGCCCCTCTCTTCGCTGGGACAGAGCACTACACCTCTCTCATCGATTCCACGCTGCAGACCATATACAGACTTTCCAAAGGGCGCTCCCTCACCAAAGCACAGAGAGACACCATAGAAGAATGCTTGCTTGCCATCTGCAAGTAAGTACCCCCTCCTGGGTTTCTCATGTCTGAGTGTGCATCTGTGTTAGCTGCAATTTTGTGATCTCAAAACTGGTGGTGCAGTTTGAGGAAGCTTGCAGGCCTTCACCATATGCCAGCCTTCCTCAAACATCGAGGGTGTGTTTTCCCCCTATTTGCCACAGGCTCTTCCTTGAGGCTTGTCTCTCACTAAGGGGATGGAGAGGGTACAGCTCAGTCTTTCCCTTAGAGTTGATAGAGGTTCTCTTAGAGTCTCCTGGAAGGAGACTGTCTTTTAGGCCTCAGATATCAAATGAAGAGCTAAGTTTCAGTTCCCAAGATAGAGCCAAGAACAGCTTTATCTATCCTTTTAATGAGGGGATCTTTACACAGAAGACTAGACTGAAAGAATATGAATCAAAGCTGTCCACTCCAGGTCTCCCAAGACCTGTGGCAAAGAAATCTCCAGTCTTAGTGTGGGGAAGTGGAAGGGGAGGGGGTTGAAGGGCAGTGGTTTTTACCACTGTGGTTGGGCACCAGAGTCAACTGAGGACAAAAGGTGAAGTCACCCCAAGAGCCTGGGGCCTCATGGGCCCACATCAAATCTGGGAGGTTCAAAGGAAAAGGCTCTTTCTATAACAGTCGCAGCAGTGTGGTCCAGGGCTATGATCTATTTTCGGTCAGTGGTCTTCCTCTTCAGCTGCAGGTTAGAATCACCTGGTAAGCTCCCAAGTAAATATTCCCATCCCCAGGACGTACCTCCACTCCCCCTCCCAAATTAAAACCTTTAGGGAAGAGCCCTCTGGCATTGAGCTTTTGAACCACCCAGGTGATTCCAGTATGCAACTAAAATGGAGAATTGTTGCTTTACTTTGTCCTGGAGGGAGGATCCACAAGCTTCCTCTTTAGAGGCCAGAATTAGTCCTGATTCTTAATGAATTAATTAATACCTTATCACACAAGAGATGACTATACATTCAGGGGCCAGGGCTGCCTAAAAAATTGAAAAAATAATTTTATGTAAATATATATGTGTGTGTGTGTGTGTGTGTGTGTGTGTGTATTAAATCAGTCCATTTAGAACATCAACTAAAAGACAATCTCAACAATGAGACACCACTACACAGCTATGAGAATGACCCAGATCTGGGGTCAGCAGGTGGAGTGGACTCCCACATAGCTGACAGCAGTTTGAGTCTTGGGACTAGCAGTTTGCTTTCTCACTTTCCCTTTTATCTCTCTCTGGTCAAATTAAAAAATAAATAATAATAACAAATAAAATTAATTCTTTCAAAAGAAAAAAATTATAAGAATGACCCAAATCCAAAACATTGACAACATCAAATGTTTGGTAAGGATGTAGAGCAACAGGAACTCTCGTTCATTGTTGATGGGAATGTGAAATGGTACAGCCTCTGTAAGAGACAGTTTGATAGTTTCTTACAAAACTAGACAGTTTTACCATACCACATCTTGGCCTACGTTAGCAAATTGTGCTCCTCGATATTTACCCAAATGAGGTGAAAACTTACATTTATACAAAAGCTGTACACAGATATTTATAGCAGCTTTATTCAGCATTGTCAAAATTTGGAAGTAGCCAAGATGCTCTTCTGGAGACAAAAAGATAAACTGTAGTAGGACCAGCAGTTAGCATAAAGGCTATGTCACTGGACTCCCATGTAGTCGACCATGGTTCGCGTCCCAGACCCGGTGGCTTAAAACTCAACGCTGGGCGCATGTGTGTGCCTGACCAAGATCCCGAGAAGAGAATGGAGAAGGGATTGTGGCGTGTCCATCCCCTCTGGGGAGTTATTTCTCATTTTCTGTCTCCCTGTCTCTCTCTGTCTGTCTGGCGAGCACATGCACCCTATAAACCCCTCAAAAAAAAAAAAAGATAAACTGTAGTAAATACCAGACAATGAGACAATGGCATATTATCAGCAGATACACACAAAAGCTATCAAGCCATGAAAAGATGTAAAGGAAACATAAATGCCTATCACTAAATGAAACAAAATAATCTGAAAAGGCTATATACTGTATGATTTTTAACTATTTAACATTGTGGAAAAGGCAAAACTATAGCGATAGTAAATCAGTGGATGGAACCAGTAGTTAGCATAATGGTTATGCTGTTGGACTCCCATGTAGTCAACCACAGTTCAAGTCCCAGACCTGATGGCTTAAACTCACGCCAGGCACATGTGCATGTGTGCCCAAGATCCCGAAAGGAGAATGGAGAAGGGATTGCGGCATGGTCATCCCCCCGGGGGGTTGATTTCTCCCTTTCTGTCTCTCTGTTTCTATCAGTCTTTCTGGTGATCACACACACCCTATAGCAAAAACCTCTCAAAAAAAAAAAAAAGACTAGTGGTTGCCAGAGGTCGGGGGGAAGGAGGGTTGAATAGGTGGAGCACAGATGATTGTTTTAGGGAAGTGAGAACGCTATATGATGCTACAGTAATGGCGATGTGACATTATACATTCATCTAAGCCCATAAAATGGACAGCACCAAGAATAAACCCTGGCATAAACTGTGGACTTTGAGTGACAGTGTTCATCTCTTCTAACACACATGCTACCCTAGTGGAGGCATCGAAAATGGAGGCTATACATGTCTTGGGACAGAGGGTCTATGGGAATTTTCTGTCCTTTCCACTCCATTTTGTCATGAATCTAAAACTGCTCTAAAAATAAAGTATTAAAAATGAAGTTTTGGGACCAGCACTTAGCATAATGGCTA